ACATTTCTCATTCTGCTGTGTGCTTAGGCCATCTCCAACGGTTCATCAAATCTGGCATCAGATTTGAAATTTGGTGAAAAAGTTACTTTTTGAAGCTCCACTGGTTTCAGCAAATTGGTATCAAAATGAGAATTGAACAAAAAATTCATCAAAGTGAGAACAAGGGACAGATTTCACTACTTTACTGTGCGTGACCGTTGGAGGAGACCAACCAGTCAACCAGCCGGTTGACCGGCCAGTTGGCCAACTGGTCGACTGGTTCATCAATTCTGCCTTTGTTTTGTTCAACAGGTGCGAACTGGTTTGAACTGGTTTATTTTGAGATAGGTTATTTTGTGGACTATGAATAATTTGAAAGGTGATATAAATTTAAATTCCCATGAAAATATAATTGAAAATGTTACGCCTCATATACGTATTTCAGAACTAGCCGTTCCAATAATTTACCATTGGATGGACAAAGTATTTTGAAAATTTACCGTTACTGATGTGCTCTATAAAATATATCTGTTTCGTAATATCAAGCTGTGAATTTCAATTGGGTTGACAGAGTATTTCACTTTCAGAATAGCATTACATTATATGCTGTGAATTTTGTTTGTTCTGTGTCATTATAATTTTTTTTCTCAGTGCACTTTAATTTATATTATCTGATTATATTACCTAATTCTGAGGTTGAGTGTATATCATTCTAATATTTTTCAGTAAGTTAGATATTGTATCTACTGAATTTGTTTCAAACTATGGAAGATTTTGAAATGTTTGAAGAATCACAAATGTTGGAGCACAACACTAATATTAATTTTATGTCGGAAACTTCACGAGAGAAGAACACGAAGAACACTGATAATCATTTTATTTCAGAAACTTCTCGTGTTTCTCGTGGTAAAGCGTTCACAATTATAGAAGATGAAACTTTATGTAGATCTTGGTTAGTAGTCTCTCAAGATCCCATTACTAGTAATAGTCAGACTATGGCTATATTTTGGGAATGAGTACTTGTTTATTTTAATCCACAATTGAGCGGTGAATCAAATCGAAACCGTATTTCTTTGTCTCATCGTTGGTCTCGCATGCAAAAGGCAATTAATAAATTCTGTGATTTTCTTGAACAAATTCAACTGAGGCAACAAAGTGGAACAACTGAGGCAGACATGGCAAAATTTATTTGTGTTATTAAATATCAAATTTCTTTTCTAAATGTATACTTGTTAGTGAAATTTTTGTAATTTTTTTTTGTAGGTCGCTGAAGCGAAGCGGATGTATCATGCAATACAGAAAAAACACTTCACATTTGATACATGTTAGGATATTTTGCGCTGAAGTTGTAAGTGGGATGAATTTCGAACACAACCCAAAAGAAGCACGCAACATGCTTATCCATGTTCGAATCCACCAACTGAATATGAGGCATTTCAATCCAACCAGAATAATGCGGTGCACGAACAACCATCTAATACATCAACACGACCAATTGGTACTAAGGCAACGAAAGAGAAGTTGAAGAATCAAACAACGCACGATAGTAGATTTGATGAAATGGATGCCAACCAATCCAAAATTGTTGAAGTATTATCAACTATCTCCGCTAGAACTATTAAGCGAGATGAACAAAAGGTGATAGACCGTGAGCAGAAGGCTGCAGAGCATCGAAGTTGAGCAGAATATAATCAAAGAACCATACAAATGCATCCTCTATGCTCCTGTTTGTTGTCAATATCTCCTCATCATTGTGACAAAATGAAGCCAAATGATACAATTACAATCAAGTTATAACTGAAAACAACTTCATACATAATACATCCTTTCTTCTTTTCTTTGGTTACCATTAGACCTTTCAAAAAATTTCATAAAATTTGAAGTAATCAGAAACATTAATAAAATTCAACTAACATGGCATCACTAAAGCTCCAAAAGATGGTGCACATGTATTACCAAGGCAATGTAAGTGAAAAACTAACAGATGATTTTATATCAAATAATATGATATACGAAACTACTATATTATACAAGACAAAACCACTACATTTATAAAAGAAATTGACCCAACAAAAGGTTGTTAAAATAACAAAATACAAAACAATGCAAATACATAATGTGAAACACATCAACAGCCATTATCTGGTGGTGGTGGAGGAAGGAAGTAATGATGGTATATGTCATTTACACGATGCTCAATCCTATCTATGCGATTGTTTGCCACTTCTTGATGTCTTTCAATGTCCAAACGGAACTCACCAAATTGTTGAATTAATGAGTTCTGCGCAGTGGCAAATGTATCAAACTGAGTATCCAACGAATTGACCTGATTAGCCATTTGATGTTCCCATTGAACGCGCTGATTATAATGTTGTTCTTCCATGGCCAAAAACTCAGTCCAATATTGAGGTTGTTCAGTTGATGGCATCACATTGGCAGGAGGATCTTCTAGAGCATCATCTGGTGGGACTTCATCTTCTGAATCTTCTAGAGCATTAACACTTCCCATTAAATTAGAGGCTTCACCAGCATGGGTCACTGTATACTGATTAATGGGTAAATAGATTTTGATCTCCATTTCATCTGCAAGGTGAACCCGAAAATGTTTGAAAATTTTTGACAAGAGTGGCCCAAACAGTAATGACCGACCCATGAATTGAGCTTGATTTGCATACATCATTTCTTTCATTATTATGTAACACAAATCTAACTTATGGCCAACTTCAAAACAGTATAACAAATAGGCATTAAAATATGGGACCGCATTATGATGTCCTTTTTTCGAAGTGACATTTTCTACAATCTACCGGTGGAGAGTCCGAAGATAAGGTTTTAAATGTCTTGCTTGTAGACTAGTCCCAGTAAATCTGTTCTCACAAATAGTAGTATATATATCACTAGCATTACCAACAATATTAACTAACTCAGTCTCACTCTGAAAATGGATATTTTCATCACCTATCTCAACTCCAATAATGCTTGCCAAAGTAGGAATATCAAACTGTATACCCTTTCCTTTCATATATGACAAAAGAGTAAAATTTTCATCTTCTTCCTGAGTACCTCTTAGGTGAACATAAAATAGAGATACCAGCCGTGGATATACCTTTTGGGGTAAATTAATTACTAACTAATAGTGCATCATATTGAGGTGGCAGATTTACCCTCCTCCCTGTTACAATAGGTCAACTGTAGAAGTTTGGAAAGGCTTGTTCATGACTTTCACTAAGAAAATCATCAGTAGGATATGACTAATTTTGAGACTGTTGTTGTTGGCGTCGTGGAGGGTTGGAACTTTCACTAACTTGTGGTCTGGCTCTTTTAGTTCTAGACATGATGTCAATATCTGTTGAATTTTAATGAAAATGTGTTACATATGAAAGCTGAATTAGAGTTGGCTTGTTGTTGTTCTGGTGTTATGTTGAATTTTAATATGCAGTGTTTGTGGTGTTATGCTGCATTTTAATAAACACTGCATTTTCTTTGAGCTAAATGAAAACATGAAGTTAATATGCAGTGTTAGTGTTTGTTGTTCATAAGTGCACACTAAAATAGAAAAAGAACATGAAGTAAAAATTCAATGGAAGTTAATATGCCAGTGAATGTGTTCTACATGATAGAAGTTAATTTCCAATATTAAACATGAATGTAGTTTGATTAAAACATGAATCTTATGCTCTCGAGAAGGTTAAAGTTGAACAAAAAAATTGTGGTATTATGCTCACTGAAAAAAAGGCCGAAGATATGGAAGGAAGTGCACACTGAAAGGCAAAAAAAAAAATTGCAGGGCCGGTTGACCCGTGCAATAAAGCCTACCTCTGTTTTGATGCTACCTTGTTGTTCTTGCTGATGTTGTCTTTGTTGATTTAGATGGTTTGCCTTGCTGATTCTGTGGATTGACACTTACAATATAGTGAATATGCAGAGTTTGGGAATAGAAATTGGTTAAGCCGAATTTGAAGGTGGTGGTGGAGGGAATACAATGAATGTGTTCTTATAGAGGCAATCTATGGATAGAGGTCTTCAGTGAATAGAGTGAATTTGGTGATGCCAGGTTTGTATACAATCTTGAGCTGATATAGAGGGTGAATTATTGAGGTAGGTGGTGAAGGGAATTAATATTCAACTAAATTGGTTGAATGAATTGAATGAATGGTGGTGTGTGTAAAATAAGGCATTGACTCATTTGAAATCTGTTGAATTCATATGCCACCTCTATATGCCATGAATGTAGCTTGAATGCATTTATCCACTGAATAAATGAATGGCAACATTATTAAGTAGTATGCCACCTCTGTAGGTTGAATGCATTTCAACTGAGGCAATAAATGAATGGCAACATCCACGCCAACCAACATCAATAAATGAATGGCAACATATCAGTAATAAGCCAACCAACATCAATAAATATATAGACAAATAAATTGGACACCAATACATATATGTACTGAACATATGTACTGAATAAATTTGTATGCCACATCAATAAATTCGTATACTGAATAAAATCATATGGCACATCAATAAATATGAATTGTGAATAAATTTATGTGGTATTATCATTTGTAACTGATTAAGACTTGATTATTAAATTTATGTGGTATCATCATTTGTGGTATCATCATTACTGAATTGAACACAAAATACTGAATTGAATAAATTTGAGACATGATTATTAAATTATCATTTAAGACATGATTATTAAATGTGAATAAATATATGTGGTATTATCATTTGTGGCACATCAATACTGAATTGAACACAAAATTTAAGACATGATTATTAAATTTATGTGGTATTATCATTTGTAACTAATTAAGACATGATTATTATCATTTATAATTCTCATGAATTGAACACAGAACAATTCTGAATATTAAAGATTGGATCATCACAACAGCACATCATCACATAACTTCTAAACTACTTGGTTAATATAGTGCATCGTAATGAAGATTACAAAAAAGACAACCTTCTATTCCAAAATTATAAACAAAATTACATGTATTGATGTGGTGAATTTAGTTTTCACCATGAAGATGCCACATATATTCTATTAAATCATTGCGGAGGGCATGATATGCATCCTTATCTCTAATACCTAAATGACGAGACAAAAATGATTGGAAGTCATTGGTAGGAGTACAGGAAAGTTGCACTGGTGCGTTGGTTAATGAAAGTTCATAATCAAAATCAAGGTGCTCCTCCCTCTCATCTTCGACAATCATATTATGTAATATAATGCAACTCTTCATTATGTTGGCAAGCATTTTCGAATCCCAAAAACGTACAGCACCACCTATAATTGCGAATCGAGATTGAAGCACTCCGAATGCCCGCTCTACATCTTTCCTGGCAGACTCTTGCATCATTGCAAAATGTTGTTTCTTTGCTCCTTGGGGAGAAGAAATTGTTTAAACTAGTGTTGTCCATTGAGGGTATATACCATCAGCAAGGTAATAACCCATATCGTAACTATGTCCATTAATAGTGTAATGGACAGGGGGAGCTTTACCTTGAGCAAGATCAGAAAACAAAGGCGATCGGTCCAACACATTCAAGTCATTGTGTGAGCCAGGCATTCCAAAAAATGCATGTCAAATCCACAAGTCATAAGAAGCTACTGCTTCAAGAATAATGGTTAGCTTTTTCTGATGGCCTATGTATTGACCTTGTCATGCCTTTGGACAATTTTTTCACTCCCAATGCATGCAATCTAAACTTCCTAACATACCCGGAAGTAATCTAGCAATATCTTGGACAATTTTTCCACTCCCAATGCATGCAATCTAAACTTCCCAACATACCCGGAAACCCCCGAACCTCCCCAATAGCAAGTAATCTAACAATATCAGTTGGTGTTGGAGATCTCAGATATTCTGGTCCAAAGATTTCAATCGCTGAATTACAAAATTGTTGCAAACTTTGAATTGCAGTGCTTACCCCGATATGTATATAATCATCAATTGGATCTACTGCGACACCATATGACAATATTCTCATCGCTGAAGTCATTTTTTGTAGGGGAGATAATCCAACTACATGAGTTGCATCTTGTTTTTGAACAAAATATGAATTGTGTGCTTGGATTGCATTCAAAATTCGCAGATACAAAGGACGACGCATTCAAAAACGTCTCCGAAATATTGTAGGTGAATACACTGGATTTGCAGCAAAATAATCTGCAAACAATCTCTCATGACCCTGCCTTCTATCTCTGCGTATATACTTATGGCCTACAATAGAACCACCTATTTTCTTTGAGCTATCACTTGACTTAAGAATCTGAAGCATACTAGCATTATTCTTCTCATAAGCCCCTAAAAGTTTGACCATATATTCATCATCAGACTCATGATCAGAGGAGGATGAGGAAGAAGACGATGAAAATGAAGTCAACATCATGGATTTGAAGGTATTCATTATGCTTTGTTTTGTTTTAGCTATGATCGTATCAGTTGTCTGGAGTTGTTTGGCATATGGATAATGTGTTTATATGAGATTTTAGAAGCAAATCATTGTTGGAGGTAAACCAAAACGAAATATATGTAATGGAGGGAAAAAGAAATAGGAAAAGAATTGGGAACAGAAAGGGAGGGAAACAAAAAAAAAATAAAAAATAATGGCCTTACCGGTCGACCCTCCCCCTTTTGATGCTCACCATTGGAGGAAGCCATATCAAATTGAGAAAATTGGCTTTTTTTTACTCAAATTTGATGAAAAAATTGGTTAACCGTTGGAGATGCTCTTATAAATGTTATCTTTTCAGATGATGAGATGTAAGGGAGACCCGTAACCTCGTGTAGTGGAACCTACACAAGAATGTGATGCTGATCCGTTATTTTGTTTTATTTATTTTTTTTTTATTTTTTTACTTATAGTCAGTCACTGAATAATAAAATAATAAAAATCTTATAGATGTACCTTATTTTATTAAAATATTATAATGCAGTAAATATTCTGTTTAATTATTTTTTTATTTCCAGTTGCCTCAACCTGCACCATTTAATTTGCTACGATTAGAATTATTTAGTAAGTTGTGATTGCAACCCTAAACCCCTGAGGTTGGGTCGTGACAACTTCAATCTAAAATCACGTGAGAATAATTTTTTTCTTATTTAGTATTAGGGTTAGGACATAATTTTCCTAGATGAAGAACAGGAAGTAAAGGTAAGATTGTCTTTTCTTATTTGAATTGACTTTTACTTGATTTTTTTATAATAACACTATATGTACCAATTAATGTACATACTAATGTACTAACAGATGATGTGGTATCATTTGTATGCTTTTGAGTATTTATAACTTGTATAACAAATGTGGTCAATAATAATATCATAATAATAGTTGGTATACTAATGTGTACACTAATTGTGCATATAGCACTATCATTTTTTTATTTTTTTTTTCTAGCCGACTCTTAAAATGCTCGCGTATAGGATTAGATTCCATTAATTTAGAAAAAAAAAAAAGTAATAATTGCACTTCAATCTAAATCATGCGAGAGTTCTTGGTTATATTTAAAATATAAGGAGTAAAGTGCTCGAAGCTTAAACTATAAGAGGTAGGATGAATTTTGTCCAAGTTGAAATAATTTTGTCCACGTAAAAAATAAATTACTTGTGAATAATTTTTTTTTTTTTTTTAAAAAAAAAAAAATATCCATTGAAGGCCAATAAAAAAACGAAAATTACTCCTTACCTCTTCTACTTTATTTAATATCTCCCTGCCAGCTCTCGAGCTTATGGAATTCTTTGCTTTTTGGCTACGGCCTTTATTTATCTTTTAGCAGTGCACTTATCACAAGAAGGCCTAGCTTGTTAGGTTATTTTGTTTTCCCTTTAAGGTCTTTTTTTGTTTTTTTTTTTATTTTTCTTGATCTACATGTTGTTTTACTTATTTATTTTAATGCTAGAAGGATATGAGTGTGTGCAATTTATTATATACTATATATAGGGATGGCAATGGATAACCTACCCTGTGGGTATCCATGGAGACCCAACCCAAATACATGGGTTTTCCCCTCTTTTTCTTATCCATTGGGTAGGGTAGGTGATATTCTATTCTAGCCTCTAATTCTCTCACTAACCCACTCGTTTTCACTATTCAGTAATCCCTCTATTTATAATAACAATGTTCGTGAACTAGATTGATTCGATGAACCATAAATCAAACTAATTCATACAATTCAAAAAATTCGGCCAAAACTTTCAGTTAAATGGTAAAAAATATAATGCAATGATTTGTATGACCAAATGTAGAAATTAACATGCGCACCTTTGTTATGTATTTTTTGTGATATATATTGTGTATTTTTGTGACAACTTTTATAAATTTATCTAGTAGAGTTACGACAAATTTGTAGTTCAAAAATAAAATTACACATTTTTTTTATAATATTACGTATTTTTGTGATAATATTATATGTTCAAAAATAAAATTACACATTTTTTTGGATAATGTTACATATTTTTGTGGTAATAATGTTACATGTTTAAAAATAAAATTACACATTTTTTTGGATAAAGTTACGTATTTTTGTGGTAATAATATTATCTGTTCAAAAATAAAATTACATAATTTTTTTGGTAATGTTATGTATTTTTGTAGTAATGTTACACATTTTGTGGTTAGAAAATATTTAAATAAAAAAATGCATAACATTAGCACAAAAATGCGTAACTTCATTTTTGTACGACAAATTGTTATAAATTTACCAAAATATTATGTAACATTTACTACAAAAATTCATTTAAAAAAACACCATAAAAATACATAACATGTTATGGTGCACACCACCATAGAATTTCCTCACAAATTCACTTAAAGTGATGTGATAAGAGAGTTACAACTCTTTATGATTGAATTTATAACAAATTTTATGTTACATCCTTGTAAATTGAATTGAGAAATTTCAACCGTAAAGCAGTGTGAGAGGTATATTAAGATAATATAACAGATGATGTGTGTCAAAATGAGAGTAATCTCAGAAGCGAATCCATTAGAACAGACTAGCCTTAGTGCGGTCGGTTTTATGGGCTGGATTGGGCTGTGCCAACTATTTGACCAAAGCCCACACATAGAGCACATATGAACGTTGTATTCTCATGGACCCACATAAACCCTAGGAGGAGGGTTTAAGGGTATGGTTTAAATCAAGAGAAGGGCTTCTCTCCCGTCTGTTGGATCTGTGACGATCATCATTAGTTCATTTTGATAATTTAAATCGTTCAATATGTAAAATTCATTAATTACTTTACTCTTGAAAAAAATCACGCTGATCAAACATTGATAATCCCTTGATTATAATACATTTTTGTTAACAATTTATTTTTAAAATCATATTTACTATTGACAAAATATGATCTAATCAACATAAATTTTTACAATGATGAAGTATTTGACGAACAATATATATTGAACAATTTGGATTATCGAAATATGACCTGTGATGGGCCCCACAGTCCCAACAACATAGTCTAAATTGAGAAATTTCAACCGTAAAGCAGTGTGAGAGGTATATTAAGATAATATAACAGATGATGTGTGTCAAAATGAGAGTAATCTCAGAAGCGAATCCATTAGAACAGACTAGCCTTAGTGCGGTCGGTTTTATGGGCTGGATTGGGCTGTGCCAACTATTTGACCAAAGCCCACACATAGAGCACATATGAACGTTGTATTCTCATGGACCCACATAAACCCTAGGAGGAGGGTTTAAGGGTATGGTTTAAATCAAGAGAAGGGCTTCTCTCCCGTCTGTTGGATCTGCGACGTTCATCATGAGTCCATTTTGATAATTTAAATTATTCAATATGTAAAGTTCATTAATTACTTTACTCTTGAAAAAAATCACGCTGATCAAATATCGATAGCCCCTTGATTATAATACATTTTTGTTAACAATTTATTTTTAAAATCATATTTACCATTGACAAAATATGATCTAATCAACATAAATTTTTACAAGGACGAAGTACTTGACGAACACTATATATTGAACAGTTCGGATTATCGAAATATGACCCATGATGGGCCCCACAGTCCCAACAACATAGTCTAGTCTATAAAATGGATTGGAGAGAAACCCTTTCCTTAAATTAAACAATCGGGTTCTAATCCTGTGGGGTTATTTTTTGAAAGGGCCGAACTCCAATGCAATAATCGGTTCAACCATTATAATTGCTTACAGCTCAATCGACTCAAGAATTCAGAATCCTAAATCGACTCACTTTCTGAGTAGAATTTGTTGGGATTCAACACAAACTTTTGGCTTTCACATCATTCTATTTAGGAGATTGTAAAATATTTGGAGAAATTTAGAAGCTTCGTGAACATCCTAAAACAATCTGGAACTTAATAGAATATTGTAGAAGCTAAACGAGTCTAAAATGTTGTAGAGTATTATAGAAAAATATTAATAAATAAAAAAACTCCACAATGTAGTAGAATAGTTTAGATAATTCTAGAATATGGTGAAAGTAAAAAAAGATCATAGAATATTTTACATGGCTAATATAGCCCTTAAACCAAGTTGATCTTAGTTATTTATTAAGGAGGTAAAAGACTATATAAAGAAAAGATCCCTCAGTTTGAATAACATATAAATGAGATAAAGAGTATTATGGTAGAGAGTAGTGTGGTGTGGTGAAAATCCCACCAACCCAATCGTTAGTGTTTTGTATTATTGTGTTTGTATTTTTTTATTTTTTATTTTTTATAGTGTTTTGTATTATTGTTTTAAGGCCTCCAAGTCCGTGTAAAACCGTTATTGTTGGTCGCACAAATTTCTCAACCGAAAAATGATGGAGACCACTAATTAGTAGTTGCACTAGGCACATGTGTTTTGTGTCTTAGTTTTTGTTTTTTTTTGTTTTTTTTTGTTTTTTTTTTTACTTGCCACATCATTAGTGGTGGTGTTAGTGGTAGAAATTTAGTGATATGTAGCATTGTTGTTTCTCAACCTGGGTTGTCTCATAGGCCACCGCAATCCATGCATTTAGGCTTTTTTTTTTTTTATTTTTATTTTTATTTTTAATCCATTCTCCTCCTCATTTCGACAATGTCACACAGCATGACATTTGTATCCTCTTCTTATTGGTTCTTATTGGTTGACGATCTTCATTTCAGCCAACAATACTTCAAGTGCCATCAAAGTTGCCTTCAAGATGAATTCACTATTACAAAATTATAAATAGATCACATTTTTTATGTATTATATATGTTATTTAATGACACGTTTTAAGTTTTGTCAAAATGTGATCTTTGAGAATATAATTAAAAATGATCATTTTTAATTACACGTTTTGAGTGTCATTAAAAAATTATTCCATCACACGTTATGCGTGTGATAATAAATATTTAGATCACACTTTTTACGTGTGATAATAAACATTTAGATTACACTTTTTATGTCTGATAATAAACATTTAGATAACATAATTTAAGTGTGATTGGTATCTAATAAACATGTGATTAATAATAAGATAAGATCACACGTTACATGCATTTCTTATCACAGTTAATGCGTGTGATAAAAAAAGGGGTTCAACAAATTTGAATAATAATTAATATTATTTTTGTGCGCATTTGAAGCATGTAATATACACTATACACTATCCTTTGAATCACAACCACATATTGAATGGAATAACGTCATATATTCCATACATGAAAGTCAAATGTTCAAAAGTATATACAAAAGAATTAATAAAAAAAATTTAACTATGATTACATATATTAAAAAAATGAAAAAACTTGAAGCACAAAGTCCTTAAATTCTTTGACTATATTTTGCATCTCTCTAAGCACTTTCTGACCTGAAAAATGAAAGTACAAATTAATTCAAATGCAAAATTTGCCTCTACTTTGGGAAAAAAAAAAAAAAAAATTAACTATGATTACATATATTAAAAAAATGAAAAAACTTGAAAAACAAAATCCTTGAATTCTTTGACTATATTTTACATCTCTCTAAGCAATTTCTGACCTGAAAAATGAAAGTACAAATTAATTCAAAGGCAAAATTTGCCTCTACTTTAGAAATAATTTTGGGCTAAAGGCAAAATAAAGGTAAGAAATTCACAAAGATGTGTGTTGAATCAAAATAATTGAGATAATGTGATTATTATGTTTTATGCACTTTTATTACAAAATAATTTTTGGGTAGTGGCACATGTGAAAGAAGAATAAAAATTAGATAGTCAGCATATTTTTTTTCTATTATTTATTTATTTTTATTTATTTATTTATTTTATCAGTAAAAGAGAATTTATTGATGAGAAAAAGATATATAAGATAAAATTTTAGATTTAAATTGCATCATTGTCAAAGCCACACATCCAAACTATGTTGGCAGCCATGGCAAGACCAATCCTGTGCATAATCTAAAACAACAACAGAAAATTAGTGAGGTTCCAATTCAATAACAGGCAAGCTATAAATAAGCACACAAAAAACAGAGGCTACCCAAGCCTCAAGCCAAACAAGCTATAAAATTCATTAATTTAAGTGTATAAACCAAAAATCTTAAAAATTACCTACTTAAGAGAAGAGAATGACCACCCATCTACAATATAGTTATATATAAAGCTTGATCTTCCATTGAGTGCTTTCAACCTCAAGGTGCACCTACTTTAAAATGAAAAATTAATAAATTGAAATGCTTTTCTTAGTAAAAGATGTTAGCTGCTGTTAATACTATACCTATAATATGTTATAAGTTAATACTATATTAATCTGTATAGATCTACAGCTGCTAATAGTAGATAGTATATTTAATAGATTATATTAAATATCTGTATAGATAGTTGTTGCTAGCCTAGCACAGATAGACGCCTTCTTTTCCTTTTGCTTTCAGCTATCTTTCGGTGGCCTTTCATTTGTATATTTCCTTTGTTCATCATTTTGTCTTGTAAAACATCTCCTATATAATGGAGGTTCCATTTGGTTGCAATATACATCAAAAAACATAGAGCTAATATTTGCTCTCTCAATCTCTCTCAATTTCTTATATGGTATTAGAGCACAGGTTTTCTGCCTAGCCTCTTCTTCCAACATATTTTTTCTGCAGATTGCATTTCATCTGTATCCCTTTTTCGTCCATCTCTGAAATACGGTTTTCACCACACCAGAGCCTTCGTCTCCTCCGGACGATTCCAACGCCACCAATTTCAGCCCAATACGACGTTACACGCGCTCTCACGCGCCACTTCTGTGAACGGCGCGTCGCCTGCCTCTGCCTTCCGCCTCACACGCGCTCCACGCGTCCTCCACACTGTCCCATGCTAACGTGCACCGTGCACTACCTTGCTAACATGCGCCGCGTGTTTCTGACGTCAGCACACGTCAGCCCTCTCTGCTACCGTGCACTGCCTGGCCTGTTTTGCTAACGTGTGCCGCGCCCTTTCTTGCTAACGTGCGCTGCGCCCTTTGCCTCTCATTTCTGTGCCTCTGTGGTCATATTTTGGGTCGTTTCACTCATTTTCCCACTAATTTCGGATTTCTGAATTCACTGGTAACCTCGGTTTTTTTCAGATTCTACCTCCATTGTGCTATTTTTCCCTCATGGATCGCCCGGATTCCTCTAATCACCCTATTTCCGTTATTCTTGACGGGACTAATTATGTCCTTTGGGCACCAGCCATGTCTGGCTTCCTCAAAGGCAAGAAACTTTGGCATATCATTACTGGGGATGTGTGCAAACCAGTCCCAGCAACCACAGAATCCGCTGCCACGGACTCCGCTGCCAAATATATCGACCGACTAGAAGATTGGGATAGTAAAAACTATCAGATCATCACCTGGCTTCGCAATACTTCTATTACATCCATCAGCCTTCAGTTTGGTAGGTTCCAACTTGAGTCTGCTTCCTCTCCAGCCAAGGCCATCTGGGATTTTTTGCAAGAACGCTATCAGACTACCGGTCTTGCTCACCAATATCAGCTTCTGAGTCATCTTCACCGTATGCGCCAAGAAAACACTCAGACCATTAATGATTTCCTCTCCCAAATGTATTATGTTTGGGATCAACTCGCTCTTTCTGAGCCTCCATGGCCTCATACTGAGGATGCTGCCTTGTTTACTACCTACCGTGACCAACAACGCTTGGTTCAGTTTCTCATGGCTCTCACTCCTCGTTTTGAGCCCGTCCGCGCATCTCTCCTACATCGCACTCCTTTACCCACTCTTGAGCAAGCCGTTTCTGAACTCCTGTCCGAGGAAACCAGGTTTGGTACTCTCCATCCACACCCTGTGGACTCTGTTCTTGCTACTCCCCAGATTCGGAGTTCTCCTTCACCACAGCGGTCCACTACCTGCAACTATTGTCACAACCACAATCTTCCATCGACTCATCTTCTGGTTCATTGTCCCGTTCGTCTTTGTCGATTTTGCAACAAGACTGGCCCCGGTCATCTCCAACAAGATTGCTTCCGCAATCCTACCCGTGCCTCTCGCCATGGTCCTTCCACCGAGAATTTTTCCCGCAGCAACTCTCACCGTTCTGGGACTCCATTTAAAAACATGCCTGCTCCACGCACTGCTGCTGCCGCCTCCGAAGATTCACCTTCTTCTGTCCCTGTAGATCCTTCCACTCCGGTCTTCTCTCATACCGATGTTGAAGCCATGTTTCAACATCTATGGAAATTAACTTTTAATCTTGCATACTGACAAGTCAGCATCTTCTTGTTATCTCACAATTATAGGGATATAAGTTTACATTGAAGGGAAGGAAACTCATTTGTCAGAATTGGCACCATTACTCTGTTTTTTAATCTGTTTTTGAAGCAACAAAATGTTTGATTAAATAGTTGAAGACATGTCCACACACCATTTTTACTAAATTAATTACTTTCAATTGTTCATGTTTCTGTTGCTTTGTAGCTTGGTTTTTTCTAAAAGCTTCTCTTATGATTGTGTTAGAAAGCTGTACGAGTGGACAATAAATTTGTGATCATGTGGGGTAGTTTTAAAAAAAAATTATGATATTATGCCAGATTGAATTGCAGTTTGACAGAGTTCTTGCTTATGGGAAAGTAAATCCCACCCTGTTTGAATTTCCTGCACACGTCAAGCGCAAGGACACAGAGATTAAAGATGTTGTGAAGAACCATGTCCTTCCTTTTCTTCCTGCCAAATCGCTCATCAGGTTCAGAACCATTTCCAAGGACTGGGATAAATGGATCAGTAGTCCCTTTCTAGCCCATGCGCAAAGTTATTCTTTCCAGAAAGTATCTGGATTCTTCTGTCAGCCTGGCGACTGCACTCCCACTTTCATAACACTCGATCAACATGCTTACGGGATTCCTAGCACCTCCCTCGAGTTCTTGCCAGAACCCACTGTAATTCGAAGCTCCTGCAATGGATTGCTTCTATGCCAAGGCCATGATGGAGAAAATGTTTACTACATTTGCAACCCAGTGAACAAGGAATGGAGGGTACTTCCCAGGCCAAATTACTACCATCAGTCTGAACCGGCCATTGTACTAGCCTTTGAACCCTGGGAGCTCAACATTGCAGCTCATTTCGAGCTCATTTGTGCCTTCCCTTTAATTGACGTCCCAATAGTTTATTTTGAAATTTACTCTTCAGAGAAAAGGTCTTGGAGATGCTCTACTGCGAGCTGCATTGAACTGGGTGAATTGACCACGCTGAAAGGTGGGTTTTACATGAAGGGAATGGTATATTGGGAAACTTCATCAGGTAATGTACTTGCCTTTGATATGAAAAATGAAATTTGTGGAATTTTGCCGCTCCCTTGTGTCAGCGGAGAGGGTGGAGTTTTGGCTCAAAGGCAGGGGGAGTTGTGTTATGTTCAGGCACGTTATCAGAAAGGGAATGACTATGCAATAGCCATATATGCGGGTATGGAGATGAGCCTGAAGCATAATATTGCTGTGAAAATCGAACGTGACCAGGGAGGATTAACTCATCATCAGTGTCGAGCTTTGGCTTGTGTCAACGACGATGTTGTGATGATTTTAGTTGGGATGGTGGTGTATTCTTATCATCTTAGAGAACAGAAAGTTGAAGTCATTAGCAGGAGACAGGATTTCGGGGGGAGGTACTTGCCATATGTGAATAGCCTCGTGTTGTTGGCACCTGAGTACTAGTACGTCTCACACTTTCTTATTGAGTCTTGGAATGTAGGACTTATTGAGTCTTTCACGATGTTAAGTCTTTTGCTATGTAATTGAATGGGATGATCTGAATCCTTTTGCTTTTGCTTGCTTAGCAAAATATATATAATTTGAATAGGAGATGGTGTTCTGTTTTTGATGTTTTTGTTTTAAAAATGTTCAAGTTAGCAATCATTTCATGAGTGCACTGTGCTAATGAAATTAATCAAGGATTTTTTTTGCCTAGTGTCGGAAGAAATTTAATAAAAATATTCTAGCTATATACGTGTTAGAAAGAAATTTATGATAAATTATACTAGTCAAACCTCTAACATTCATAAATATTTCACTTTATCCCCTCATTTTTCAATCACAACAATGTTAATTACAACAATGTTAAGTTCACTTTTTTTTATCAAATTTAAGTGTTACTCTGAATCTTTACGTGTAATGTGATTTGTGAAAGGAATTTGTGAAAGGAAAAATAGTTTGGTGAGTTTGGCGTGTTTGGTGTTCTCTCGTCCAAAGTAGATCATGTAAGGGTTACTCGTCCTGATATTGCCTATGCCGTCCATATTGTCAGCCAGTTTATGTCGGCTCCTCGTACCACACATTATGCTGCATTAATTCGTATCATTCGCTATCTCAAAGGCACCATGTTTCATGGTCTTCATTATTCCGCCCGCTCCTCTCTCCAGCTTCGTGCTTTCTCTGATGCTGATTGGGCTGGCGATCCTACTGACCGCCGCTCTACTACTGGGTTTTGCTTTTTTCTGGGTGATTCTCTTATTTCTTGGCGCAGTAAGAAACAATCTCTTACTGCTCGTTCTAGTACCGAAGCCGAATATCGTGCCCTTGCTGATACTACTCAGGAGCTTCTCTGGCTTCGTTGGCTTCTTGCTGACATGGGTGTTACTCCCTTTGGCGCTACTGCCCTCTTTTGTGACAATCACAGTGCTCTTCAAATTGCTCACAATGATGTTTTTCATGATCGCACCAAGCACATTGAGATTGACTGCCATTTTATTCGGCAACACGTTACTCATGGTACTGTCCATCTCCATCCGATCTCTTCTGTTGATCAACCTGCTGATATCTTCACCAAAGCTCATTCTCCTGGCCGCTTCGTTGACCTTGTCTCCAAACTCAAGTTGGTTGATGTTTGTCCTCCTTGAGTTTGAGGGGGGATGTTAATACTATACCTATAATATGTTATAAGTTAATACTATATTAATCTGTATAGATCTACAGCTGCTAATAGTAGATGGTATATTTAATAGATTATATTAAATATCTGTATAGATAGTTGTTGCTAGCCTAACACAGATAGACGCCTTCTTTTCCTTTTGTTTTCAGCTATCTTTCGGTGGCCTTTCATTTGTATATTTCCTTTGTTCATCATTTTGTCTTGTAAAACATCTCCTATATAATGGAGGTTCCATTTGGTTGCAATATACATCAAAAAACATAGAGCTAATATTTGCTCTCTCAATCTCTCTCAATTTCTTATAGCTGCTAAATGAAGCAAGATAGTTGATGCACTAAAAGAAATGATTTTCTTATAAGGTCTGAGCCATGCCTCAAGCCACTTTAAAGGCTTCAGAAACCTCAGCCAACCGACTGCACTTAATGAAATTGGACATAGCGCTCCTCATTTTACTAAGAACCATCGTATTACTACAACACTCGGCCCCAACAACAATTCCCAACACCATACAGGTACAACCAAGTCACATTTCTAAATTCATAATGATCCATATGCCAAGACTCATCAGTTAAAAAGTAACAATTTAAGTTCCAATAAAGTTTGGACCTCTGGAAAAAGAAAAAAATAGAGACCAAAAAATAATAAAAATAAATGAGTACATCTCAACCTCAAATCCCAAATTCATATATGGACCCCAAAAAAAAACAAAACAAAACAAAAAAAAATACCAAAAAAACAAATTAAAAAAAATTCTTTTTTATGCATTCCAAGTGTCTGCTAAGTGATTAAACGAGCATAAGTCATAGGGAAACACAGAGACATATATATATATATATAAAGAGCAAAACACATGTTAATGTTAATCTTAGAAATGAAGACAAAATTTATAATCATGAAAATTTATAAGGCTAAGGCCGAGACTGAGGGAGACTTTATTTGGTTCCATATCATATAAGTATTAAGCACCAGGTCCATTAATATGCCTAGATAATGTAACTAGATTTACATAATATCCCTTTCATAAGCCATGATACAAGCATGAGCCTCTACAAACTAGATTTACATAATATGCCTTTCATATATGACTATTAAGTTTATAACTTACATTCCACAAACTTCTGCTATAATAGCAAGTCACACAAGCATTACCAAGCCATATGTAAAGCTATGCTTAATAGAGCCACAACAGTTCTCTCTATTTTTCACTTTTCACTTTTTTATAAGAAGCCACATAATAGTTCCAAGTTTTTAAAAGCAAAAACCAGATTTCAAGCTGCCGCAGCATTAACAGCATGATTGGCAGCTTCCGCATGCACAACGTTCTCAACATACTCTTTCCTGCAAATAACAAAGATTAAAGGAAGGCTCCAAAATCTTGAATTATCCAAAAATGAAAAAGAAGAAAGGTCAAGTCCAACCTCTCAGGTAGGTGATCATGAGGACAGTTGAAAGGAGTCCAAATAGAATCACCAATAAAAAGCCACATTGCAGACAGGTTCAGGGGCGAAAGAAATCTTGCAAAGCATCTCAGAAAAGCAGGGGAAGAAAATGAATTCAGCTGAATCTGCTAAAGATATACCAAAGTTCATTGAATTTTTCAAGGCATGCTAATCTTCACAAGTAAATATAAACCTGTGATATTATTATCATGTTATGATGCATAACAAAATGTTTATGATTCCTTGGTTTTGAGCCTGTAATGCAATAAAAAATATTGTAAATTCTTCTGTATTCATGCCTTGGAGTGACAGATAACTCTGCCTTGTAATGAATTCACGGGCCTGTCCTTTTATGAATTCTTGTTGGATGGCTAGGATCATTATATATTCAGTGTTTGCGGATGCAGAACAGCTGGGTGGTAATTAATTCTTTAACATATTGAGGTTTAGATTACCTCTGTTACTAAAAACAGGCTGATTATCGTATCTATGAACAATCATACTAGTATTTAGTGCACAAAGGCTTCCACTTATCGCTAGGTTTGAGAAAGATGGTATATAGGCAGCTTTACTATCTTATTTTAGTGGAGAGGGTGATTATCAGGACCTACAGTGCTAAGGTGGATGAGCTTTTGACTTCGTGTCTGGTCATGACCATTAATTGATGTTTTTCTTTTCCAGTTGGAGCAATTTTCTATTAACAAAAAGAAGTGCTCTATGTTATGAGTTCAAGCATCTTATCTTGCATCTAAAGCGTCTTTGTAATTATATTTGATGATGTGGTGTATGCTTATGGCCTGACATTGATGCATTCATGTGTGGAACCTGTCTGCATAAATGTTATAAAACCTGTTTGCATCATGCTTTGGATCAAGAGCTGGTGGGGATGTGAGAGAGTGAAAGGAGTTTGCATATGTATGCATATACAACTATTTATAACAATTGCAAAATCTAAAATCATCAAACCCAAATAAAAGGTTCAATTTCAAGTTCTAACCACATTAAATCTTAACTCTTAAACATGATTTCAGGTTTTGAAGTTCAACTTTTAGCCTTTAAACACTTAATAGAACATTTAAAAAAATTGATTCAGCAAATATAATTAATTTTCAGCCAATACAAAAATTTCTGAACATAAAATTTAGCATGTAGCATAAACATTAACTATCCAGTTCATACTGATATTTTTGCCAGCATACATTTGTAATCATTTTAACTTATATCTCCTCTTTTAAACTAAATCACATTCATTAATTCAAGCCGTATCCTCCATATCTTTCTCTCACAGTTCTATTCATTTGTTTGCACTTTTTTTCTCCCTATACCTCCATTACCGATCATCCCACAGCCTCATTACACAACCACACACCCTCTCTCCACTTTTTGCTTAAGTTCTCTCTCACCCATGACATACCAATGCCATGAAAATGCTTTTTCAAAAGTAGACCAACTAATATACTTCAAACAAAAGTAGCTCTTTGAATTGATGCTTGAGATGTTTAAATTTGGGTTGAAGTTTTTTCATAGTCACACTCAATCTGATTTTAAGATGTTTATATTATCCAAAATAATGCATGAAGATAAAAACTCAATGCAGTTTTGTTATCATGAAAGAGTCAAATATGAACAATTTATCAAATAAAATAGTACTCAAGACCTAAAAAATGTATTTATGTGAGAAAAACATAATAATTGCTCCAATTATACACTGAATATCAAATAGAGAAGCTGCATTTTGAAAGAACAAAATTACATGAAGATGAGATTTCTTGTTGTCTTATACTAGTGACCATAGAAATTGAACGTCAACCGTAAACTAGATTGATCTAAATGTAAACTGTATTGCACAACCACTACCCTCACTATATTCCCCTTCCCCACTACACAATCACACACGATTCTCTGTTTTTCCCATATCATTTATCTCTTACCATAGGAATACCAATGACAAAAAAATAAAAATTCAATAAAAGTGAAGCACACCAACTAATGTAATCCAAAAAGAGTGCACCAACTAACAAAAACCCAAAGATATTAAAATTAACAACCAACATAAGTGAAGAAAAAAGGAAATACAAATTAATGGAAACGAAAACTTTTCAACATCAATGTCCATAATCACAGAATTAGACCAGAACAATTAAAAAAATTACTTTGATAATATGCACTATTTTAATAAGTTGTATAAATTGGAAAGAGTAAATAAATCATGAAAAAGAATCTACAAGGAAACCTTGGTGACAAAGACGACATCGGATTCGGTCTTGCAGATATAGCAACGATGATCATTGCACATGAAGTGAAGTCGAGCGACGCAGGTTGAGCACAGCTCCCGGTGACCACACGCT